GTATCTTAATAGCCCAAAAAAAATTTGATTGTTAGCTAATATTTAATATGAACTGGATCTTACTACTTAAAATAAATGTAAACTTAAAGCGTTAAAATCCTGTTCCTTAAGACAAAAAGAAAAATAAAAACTAATTTAAAAAAAATAGTTTAAAAAGTAGTAAAAAAAAGCAAAAAAAAAGCAAAATTGTTTAATTATATTATTATTAACTGGTCAGTCAACCGGTCAGTTAAAATTGGTCAGTTAACTGATCAATTAATCAAAGGTTTTTAACTGATCGTTAACTAACTATTAACTAATTATAATTAACTGTCACTATTTTTAATAATATTATTAAATAACTTTATTTAGATTATAAAAAGTAATTTTCTTGAACTAAAATACCAAAATAATGCAAAATATTAAAAAAGTAAATTTGTGTATCATTAACATTACAAACTTCATGAATACTAAATCAACCTTGACGAAAATTGAGAATAAAGTAATTTTGAACTTGCTGAATAACTTTACTTAAGGTATTTTTATATATTTTATTTTTCAAAATTTCTATATTTCACCTGAATAAAAAAAAGTAAGAGAATTTTTTTTGCAAAAAATATTACTCAAAATTTTTTTCTGTAATCTGAAATGTACAAAATTTTTGATAATTAAGTGAGCATATTATTTTATGATTTTTTATTGATATTTGTGTTTTTTTTTAAAAAATATAAATAGAAAAATTTTTTTAAAAATAGATCAGATCAATTACAATATTTACAAATATACACAAATATACAAAAATTTTGTAACAAATAAAATAAATTGATAAACTAAATATCAGAAATAAATAATATAAAATAATATAATGCAAATATTTTTTAATAAAATAAAATAGATCAATAAAGATTATTTAAATCAATAAAAATATATTTCATTTAAAATATGATGGTTAAATTTAACATAATACAAAAGTATCATATAAAAGCTTGAATCACAAATTTATTCTAATAATAACTTAGTAGTATAGCTATAGCTGTAGCTGTAATAGCAGCTGTAGCTTATAAAATAGCTATATAAATTTTAAATTCAATGTTCACAAGATATAATACCAAAATCAGTCAAAATATATAGAGATTGTTGTAGATTTATATAAATAAAGAATAAATTAAGCGAAAAGTAAATAAATGCAAAAATAATCATCAAAAATTCATATCATCAAAAGTATATCTTTACCAAATAGAAATAAACTAAAATAAATTGAAAATCAATTTAGATTTCAAAAATATTACCTTTTATAATAAATTTTTAATAGAACTATTTTATATATAAATATACTTTTAATTTTTTAAACTAGAAAAATAGTCTTATTTATTGTTTTCTTATGACTACTTAATTTATAGAATAATTCATAAGAAAATACATAAAAACATTAATTATCTAGATTATAATTAATTGAATATTAATAAAATATAAAATTTCAATATTTTGAAAATTTTCCATTTTTTTAATAATTATCAAGTTAAAATAATTAAAATAAGCTATATATAGAGAACATATACATTAAGAAGAATTTTATAACATTTATTTATCAAATTTTAATCAAATTAATCTTTCGTTTACCTCCTAATTATTCTTGTCTTAAACCTTTATTTAAAGTTGATAAGCAAAATCTTAATGATCTAAGCTACCTGCATTATAATATCCCTCTAACTTCTAGTATTACAATCATTTATTTAACAAATGGTTGATTCTAATATTATAAAAATATCAAATTGATTTGCTTGCTTTCTGATTCGTTTAGAAATTATATCAGGATATGAAGATTCAGGATTATCTTTTTGCAATGTGAGCCAAATATGTATAGTTTTTAACCAAATGAAAGAGTAGGTGAAATCTAAATTCCAGTTAGATTATCCTTTAGCTGATATAGGAATTATTAATTATCATAAGTGGAAAGTATTCTTTACTGAAGTTTTAGTTCTGCTATATAAAAATAGATTTGAACTATATTCTTTAATTTACTGTTAGAAAAATAATCCAACTGTTCATGATTTAACATTAATATTAGTTATCTTTTAAATTCAATAGAATAATTATTTTCATAACGATAAGTGATATTTGGTCTTCTTTTATAGGCAAAGTTAGAGGGTTTTTGTTTTGAAAAATATAATCTTTTTCTAAAAGATTATTCAATATTATAAAGATATTGATAGTTAATACAACATAATTATTATCTTTAATGCATATGATATATATTCTTGTTAAAATCTGGTTCATTGAATTTTGGTTCAAAGCTATACTGATTTGTCATATTAAATAATCCTGTCTAATTGTTTACAGTTGCTAGTATTACACCTTCTATATGCATAATATATTGGAATTTACTAGTATCTAAAGGATATGTAACAAATGATATGATACAAAATAATGCTTGTTTTTGACTAAGCTTTCCTATAAACAAACAAACCAATATAAGAATGAAAACTAATATGAAAAGAACTTCCAGAAGATGTCAAAATTATCTTACTCTATATCATTGTTTTTTCCTTTTGATCAATGTGGATGAGTTATCTGCATCTGCATCTGAGTCTATCTCAATATTATGATAATTATTCATTCCTTGAGAAGACATGTTTTAACTAAATTCATATGCTCACGTGCTCTCAAATCCATCAAAAAGGAGGAAACGTTGAATAGATTTGGTATCTAACATGTAAAATTAGTCAAGTATAATATGTTAGTTATTATAATGAAATGGATAAGTATGTAAAAGTAGGTGTGGTGGGTAAAAACTGTTGGATAAAGTAGGTGGATAAAGGTGGTTAAATATGTTGGTACCTTCATATCATAAGGGAGGTTTGCTACTAAAATCACTTTATGGATCATATGATTTACTATGTTCATAATTCAATATTAATAACAAACCTTCCATGTCATGCCAATAATTAAAAAAATTTACTTGAAAAATAATATGAAGAATCCGTTTGATTTTTATTTGTTGATTTCATAACAAAATGCAATTTAAATGATCTGATTAAGTTTGAAGAATAAAGTGATAGCCTTGCATTACTTTTGAATAATTTAAAAAATCTACGATTATATACGGAAACCGTTCCCTTTATTCAACGATTTGGCAATTCTTAATATTAGGTTGTCGGATTTACTTATTTTAATAATATCTACTGCGATAACTGATTTTACAAAAAGATGTGAACAAAATTACAAACCTTGTATGGGTTCTGTTGTGGCGAGTAAGGGACTAACAAAAAAAACGCGTTTACAAGAAAGAAAATATGACCGTTATTCTTCTATATCAAATTTGCTTCTTTTGACACGAACAAACGAAATGGAGAATCGGCATCCCAAAAAGGTTAATGTAAATTTATCATGTCTAAGGGGCATACTTAAATCTCATTTGGCAAAAAAGTCGAAACCTTTCGATCTCGATGGTTTCGACGGGTTTTGATTTCGATGCCTGTCGAAACCTCCGGGTTTTGCCCGGCAACCTCATCTCTACCATCATGCATAAATTTCCTTTTTTTTATATTACGTATACGCTATTTTCTGTGTGGTGCAGACATAATGTATTATGTTGACGTACTAGCAAAAAATTATAAAACTTGGTACCACATTAATTATGACTAGGTTCACTTTATTAATATATTAAATTAGGGAGATGGTTGATAATCTTTAAAAAACAAGCGATATGTGAAATTTTCATTCCATTAATTATTTTACATTAAAACATAAGGAAACAAACACTAATTACTGAAGTGATTACACCAACAACAGCAAGTGTACCACTTATATTTACCCGTGAACCACTACTCTGACCGCAACTGCTACCGCCATCGACAATTTTGTCAAAACTCATGTTACAAACGTTGTGTTTGACTTCGGTGGAATTGTAGTTGTAGCTGGTGTTATAGCTGGTGTTGTTGTAATTGGTATTGTTGCTGTTATTGCCATTGTTGCTGTTATTTCCATTGTTGTTGTTGTTGTTATTTCCATTGTTGTTGTTGTTGTTATTTCCATTATTGTTGCCGTTGTCATCATTACTGTTTCCGCTGTTTTTGCCATTATTGTTTCCATTTTTGTTATCGTTATTATTATTAGTCTGTCTCTTCATAGGAGAAGCATTTATTGATCCAATATCTTCGTCAAGAAAACCATCTCTTTTGAATTTTATCTGATAATATAAATTATATTAGTTATTTAAAAGATTTATGATATTTAACTAATAAAGCTTACATCGTCTTGAAACTTTTCATTAACCGTAGAACGTTTAAAATCTCGGCCAAGGTTATCGTCGGATATTTCCGCATTACCAAAATATATGAAAAGCAAGGAAAATAGAATACAGAGGTAGATAATTTTTGTTTTTGATATCATCATGTATTTATATAAAGAGGTTAACAAATTGTTAATTTATTTTTGCTAACTTCAAAGGTGTGGTATTTTTTTTTTTTTTTTTTTGAGAAATTTCATTTTTATGGTTAATTTCACGATAAACAAAAATGTACGAGATGTTTCACCGAATTAATTACAAAGAAAAAAATATCGTTACAGAAACTCCATACTGATCTACAGTATGCATTCACAAAAATAGAGTAATTCTAGAAATTGAAAAAAATCTCAGATAACAAATATAGTTAAAACGACTAAACTGATACAAATGCTAATTTGAATTATTTACGCTCAGAAATCATATAAAAGCATCTGGATAAAGTGTTGATTTTAATTTATTTTATTTTAATTTACTTTTTCTATATCTGATCTTTTTTTTTTTTTTATTTTTTGGTCGCTTCGGTGCGTGATTTTTTTTTGATTATTTCATTTAATTATTTTTTATATATTTTAGACGATTTCTTTTTAGTTGGAAGCATAGATAGGGTTTATTATGATTTTTTTTCTAGATAATTCCAATTTGATATGTTTTTCATTAAATCCTTCTTTTAAAGAGAGTCCTTTGCATGCCTAATAGTTTTATTTTCTATTTATTCTTTTGGCTTCTTCCTTGTCTATTCGGAAGTAAGCGCGGTATGTAAGTTTTTATTAGGCCTGTTCATTTCCGGTCGGTCGGTTTTTTCGTTCGGTTTTTGTTCAATTTGGTTGGACTGATCCTTTTGTACGACGTGAACTAATTCCGAACTATAAAAACAAAAAAATTGGCGTTTTTTAGTTCAAAAAAAAAAATAACGCATCACGTCAACCAACCAGAAGCGTGAAAAACGAAAATTTTCTCGTCAAAAATTGTCAAAATGTCTTCTCGCCAAGTTGACGCTAATGGTTACGTATTATTTCTCAATAATACAACTTTCTAATACTTCTTGTAACTCTTGCTTATTAGAAGACATGATAAATTGTACGAACTAGTACTCATTCAACATTATACAATTTAAAAGAATTTAAGATGATTTTATTCGTCAAATTTGGGTAGGACAAAACTGACCGAAAAACCGACCGACCGGAAATGAACAGGCCAATTATCACCTAAGCTCTGACCATCGGTACGCGTATTTTTCTTGGTGACGAATTCGATTTCGACAATAAGAATGACTTGAAGATGATGATTGTAGTTGAGATGAATTTACTACATTGATTGTAGATCTTAACCTTTTCTACATAAAATAAAAATAATGAGATTACATTGCAAAACAACCTGTTTGAAGATTACGAACGTTCTTACCAGTAATGAATATAATGTAGACACTACAGTAACGATGTTTAGAAAATTCGAATTCTCTGTTGGAAGCAGTATTTTTGATAATAAACTACAACGATAAAGACCATCATACGCCAAATCCATGTTAAAAATTTTAATTACATATCCTGTTTGAATTATACCCAATTAGTTTGGCAAATAAACATAACTTGTTGTAAGATATAATAACGATATTTGATAACTTACCACAGATCAATATTCCATAGATTTCTATACCGACAATATAACCACATCTATTGATGATAAGGTCTAAAGATCCCTTCATAAACTCCGCCAGCTTTATCACACCTTTACTTATAATATCTGTATGGGCTGGAGGTTTTATTTCGCCAAATAAGAATTCTCTGTTTGCATCGTCTATTTTTCCAAGTACTCGAAAGTCCGGTTTCCTTCCGTGATTGTTGCCATCTAATGCCCGTCTTTCTTTCGAACTTTCGGACTCGCCATTCGCCCTTCATTTAAATTACAGTTATAAGCATATAGTGATGTATAAATAAATATATTGATTACATGAAACTTACCAAACTAATGCAAAATCAGTTTTACCAAATATCTCTTCAAGAATTTGATGGCAATACCGATGGACAAATGTGTCTTCATTCAACTCATTGCTCTCGTTGAAACTTACTGAGGATAGATACATAAAACTGCAAAGCAAAAGATGTAAATATCATTAACGAACATACGAACATGTTCTCAATAATTTTAGAACTTACAAATTTCTTGACACTATTTGCACACACTCAAAAATATCTCTATCTTCATCTGTTTGCAAAGTATCCCTTAGTGACCAATTTTCACACCATCTTGTATTCATCAACTGCTTATCATTCAAAAGCTAGATCACAATAGAACAAATTAATACCTTTGCTAATTTACCAATATCATATAGGAGGTCAACTTACCGTATTGTATTCAGAAATTATCATTATAACATTCTGTGGCAACATAATTGGAGTTAATGGTCTTGGGCGAATTTTCTTCCACACTTTTTCAGAACATGACACATATTCTGGCTTGGATTCACTACAATACATTATTGATGATAAACATCTGCAAATATATACAAAATTAGACATTGAAATTGATTCTATTTACACAACAAATACTGGACTTACAATATCTGTTCCATATCTTTAAAATATGAAAACGTTTGGTTGTCTTTCAATTGATTTATTACGTCAAGCTGAAAATTGCGGAAATCAAGGGAGACGTTGTGATTCTCTGCCACCCACTAAGATAAGAAAAGATTATTACTATATCAGGAAAAGTAACTAAAAATTCACAATATTCTCAATATTTTACATCATTCATAGAAGCATCATTTATGTCAATATTGTTGATTGCATGTTTCCATGATAGAGTGGTCTTAAACTATAATTAGGAATCAAATTAATTAATAAAAAGAATAAAGATTTCTCTACTTAATAATTGATTTTGCATCCCAATACTGATTAATAATAACCTTATTGTTTCTTGATCCTTTTCCGTTCTTTATGATGAAAGGATTTTCATCATCGTCTTCGTGTATCCCTATTACTATATCCAACATGTCATGGCCATTTGACTTTGAAGAGCAATGCAGATTAGAAACAAACTTATCACATCATATGGCTAACAAAACAAGAAAAAAATATATTACTGAACAGACCTCATTATGACCATCCAAAGAATTATTCCAACAGTTGGGAAGAGCCGGAGAAACTTCCTCATCTGAACCTGATGGTTCATCTTCTACATATCGTTCTGATGGATGGATATATAATCCAAAAGATTTATTTTGTATATATAACAAATTTAAGAAGTCCTTTAATTTTACTCTAGGTTAAAGATACATACAGGCTTTTGTTTTTTGCTCCCTTTAGTTGGTATTTCTTCAATGTTTGATTGTTCACAATTCCCATAGGATCGTTTATTGCTTTGATTAGTATTGCCACTTCCAACTTGTACTCCATCACAGGAATAAAATCGATTTTTGGTATTATTTATTACCTCCGCAACGTTACGATGTTTCAATCTAGGTAAAGACTTCGTCCAAAAGTTATCTATACGACCTCCTTTCTGGATTCAAGCTGTTACAGATATTGTAAATTACTCTACATGTTAATATATCAAAGTCCTAGGCTTGTCACAAGCTGGCTACAGCGGAGACGTAGTCCATAACCATGCGAAGACGTAGTTCCATGGGTAGCTACTGAATGTGACAAACCTTCAATCACAGCTTATGAAATTATACTAACCTTGAGTTGATTTTCAAGACGTATCGCATTCTTTATTTCCACTTCTGTTCCATATTCTTTTATTTGCTGTATTTGTTTGTTGAAGCTTCTTATTACAGTCGCTTTGTCTAAACCAAAATTGTTATTTTTCCAGAATTCGTGATACTGGAGCGCATCCCAGTCATTGCACGGAGTGTCCAGGAAATAGTCGAAGCCCGGTCCATAATCTTTAATATCAGACAACATAATGTAATGTTTTCACAGGTGAAAGATTCAGTTTTCAAGACTCTCCTTTTATACAGTTGTTACGAAAGAAACGCGTTGCTTGCCAACGCGACTTAGATGCCAAGAGCCAACAAAAATTTTACGGACACATGACTACTGTGTAACAGCTTTGTAGCGTCTATACCAAATTTGTAATATTAGAAATTCGTTATTATTATGTAATATGGTAATATGATAATTTAGTTACACAACTGAATTATCGAGTGTCCACAAGGTAGACAAGGTAGACATACGCGTATACGCTCGCGCTGCATAATTATCCTCTCCAATCTCATTTTTCGAAAAAATGAATTCATTGTCAAGTTCTTATTGTAATTGCTGTAAATCAGCTTTCTAGCGAATTCGTGGATGCTCAGCATTTGTCCATCTCTTTTAAGTATTCTGTCTGCTCATCCTCTTCATCCTTTTTTTTTTCATTTGGGGAATAAGAACATAGTCAATGTGTTGTCTTTGGTACCTTTTTCTAATTCATCGTCAATATCTTCTTCACCGTTTGCTAGTTTTCTCTTTCATTCATCAATTTATTCTCTTTTCCCAATTGCATGGAAATATAAAAATTAGTACAGTTTAACTTTTGTTCGAATTTGTTCATCAATTCTTGTGTATATTTCTTAACATCAATAACTGTATTAGTATATCCAGGTGACATTTTATTATGTAATTTAGCAACTACTTTGCTTTTTTCAGCAATAACATTATCTTGGTTAGGTTGTAAAGCTTTGTTTATTTTTTCTGCTTGTTCAGGAGTGGCTGGTATATAGGTATAATCCACACATTCATTGCCATAAAACACTTTATATTTAGGTAGAAATCGAGCATAGAAATGAGTTTTGTTTTGACATCCTAATTTCCGACAGGTATAGCAAATCAGTAACCAGTAGACTTATACAACTTTTCTATTTTGTAAGTAACATCTTTCATGACTGGCAACATGTCATCTCATTCTTGTTGGTTGAGTTCTCATGCAGTGGTACAATAGCATTTACTGGTTAAAACACAATATGCTTTAGCATTAGGTCTAATGTCAGCATAAGAAAAGATACTTCCTTCTAGATCTGAAACTCATGACTTAAGTATTCCGTCTAGATGAGATTTAACTCATCACAGAGAATGCAATCTTTCTTTCAATCATAATATCATGGTTGGTTCATAGTAAAGTAATTTTACAAAAAAAAAGGAAGATAATTATAAGTCTATCTTACATTTCTTCAAGTTTTTGTTTCTTTCTTGGTTCATCATGAGCTGATATTAAGGTTCATTTATTACTTATTATTTTTCATTCTTTCTGGTAAATTTTATAAGTAATTCTTTCTTGATCTAGATACTTCTGGAGAGTTTGGGTATCATTGATTTTAAAAATGTAAGGCGCAATTTTCTCTCTTTGAGCTTTCTTTAAAATGCTTCTAATGGTGTTGTAATTCTTTGGTTCCATAGTGGATTTAATGTAAATTAGTTGCATATTAATATTTTATATAGGGATATTTTTATATTAATCCTGTTATGGTTTATATTCATCCCATTCTGGTATAATAAAGGGAACATTAAAATTAATAAGTCTATAAGTTATAAATGAGTATTATTATTACTTTTCAAAATGTCATCAGTTATCCTGATCAGTTTTACAACCACATCATCATCAGCCTCTCATTTATTATTATGTCACATAATAGAATGTTCACTTTGTCTGGTTTTGTTGCAGTTTGTCCCATATCACAATTAAATTTTAGATAAAAAATAACATTAAAATAAATGTATTTATATTAAAGCTCTGCATAAGCTAGTTTAATTTAGCTTGTCACTAGCTTAAGCTAAACTATTTTTTTTAGTTTGACTCAGTTTAGCTTATGAAAATCAATCAATAATTCAAACCAAGTCAGCTTATAAGTCAGCTTGTTCAGCTTGCATTTATATTTTGAAATAAAGTTCTATTAAAAGAAATATTTCCTATTAAGAAAAGTGTTTCTAGAATGATTTTCTTTAAAAGAAATATTTCTGAAATAATTTTCTTTGAAAGAAATATTTTTAGATGATTTTCTTTAAAAGAAATATTTTGAAAAATTCCTTTTAAAAGAAAACATTTCTGAAATAATTCTCTTTGAGAGAAATATTTTCAGAATGTTTCTTTTTAAGAGAAATGATTTCAGAATAATTCTCTTTAAAAAAAATATTTCTAGACAATCCCCTTTAAAAAAAATATTTTCAGAATAATTTTCTTTAAGAGAAATGTTTTCAAAATGCTTTACTTTAAGAGAAATATTTTCAGAATGATTCATTTTGAAAGAAACATTTTTAAAATGATTTACTTTAATAAAAATATTTTAAAATGATTTATTTTAAGAGAAACGTTTCTATAATAATTTTTATTAAAATATTTTTAAAATGATTTTGTTTATGAGAAATATTTTTAAAGGTATTTTTTCAAAAAAATCACTTTCAGAACAATTTTCTTAAAGAAACTTATCTTTATGATTTTTCTTTTGAAAGAATCATATTTAAAGGTATTTCTTTAACAAAATATTTAAAAAAAAATATCTTTAAAGTAATTTTTCCAAAGATTTACACTTTTAGAAGTGATTCTCTTAAAGAAAAATACTTCTAAAGCATTTTTCTAAGAGAAATACTTCTGAAGTTGTTTTCCTTAAAGAAATCATAAGATATTTTTTTCTAAAAAAAATACTTTTAGAAGCGTTTTTCAAAAAAAAACTTCTAGAAGCATTTTTTTTAAAAGAAATTACTTTTAAATTATTTTTTTTAAAAAAAAATACTTTTAAAAGTATTTTTTTTTGAAGGAATTAGTCTCTGTGATTTATCTTTTAAAAAGAATCACCTTAGCAATTTTTTTTAAAATTTTTTACTAATTTTGAATAGATAAAAAGACTTGTAATTTTAGTATTAATTTGAATAATTTTTTCTAAATTATTTATTATCTTTATTTTAAAAAAAAAACTATTTCAAATTAATTTAATAATTTTTTTACAATTTTAAAATAAGATTTTACAATTTTTCTTAATATGCAGTAACTGGATATAGACAAATTTATTAATGAATTATTAACTAATTTTAAACAAATTATAATCAAATATTAACAATTGGTACATAATTTAATTACTATTTGATTTTGAAATTAAATATTTCTGCAAAGTTAGTATGTTAAATCATTATTTTTACAAATATATATTAAATAATATCTTTACTAATTAAATAAAACAATAAGTAATATATCAGATAGAGTTCTAAATGAATCGAATCAAATTGAGTTTAAAGATCAACTCTATTTAACTCTCTTTTTTCGAGTTAAGTTGAGTCAAATTTATTTTATAAAATCTTTCAATTTGATTTGATTTGAGTTATATAAATTTTAAACTCAACTCAATTTAACTCGACTCGATTTTAATTTGATTCGATTTTGAAAAAAAATAATAAAAAAAATGAAAAGATCAGGAGGAGGGAGAAGAGCGAACGATTCGTCATTGTTCTTCTTGAATAATAAAAAAAATCATTTAAGTTAAATGATTTGTCATCATTCTTCTTGAATGATAAAAAAAATTGTTTAAGTCAAATGATTCGTCATTGTTTTTCTTGAACGATAAAAAAATCATTCAAGTCAAACGATTCATTATCATTCTTCTTGAATGATAAAAAAATCATTTAAGTTGAACAATTCGTCATCGTTCTTCTTGAACGATAAAAAAAATTGTTTAAGTTAAACGATTCATTATCATTCTTCTTAAATGATAAAAAAAATCATTCAAGTCAAATAATTCATCATCGTTCTTCTTAAACAATAAAAAAATCATTTCAAGTCAAACGATTCATTATCATTCTTCTTAAATGATTTGTCATCATTTTTCTTAAATGATAAAAAAATCGTTTAAGTTAAATTATTTGTCATCATTCTTCTTGAATAATAAAAAATTGTTTAAGTTAAACGATTCATCATCATTCTTCTTGAATGATAAAAAAAATCATTTAAGTTGAACGATTTATCATCGTTCTTCTTGAACAATAAAAAAAATCATTCAAATTGAACGATTTGTCATCGTTCAAGTCAACTTAAGTCAACTTGAATCAAGTCAAGTTTAAATCAAATCAAGTTAAATATTTAATTCAACTTGAATTTGGCTTAACTCGCAAATGATTGAGTCAAAAAAACATAAACTCAACTTGATTTAAACTCGACTCAGCTTATCTGACTCATGAGTTAACTTGACTTATCTGAAACTCTATGTATCTAGTACTGAATTTAAATCCAAATTTATTTCTGAATAAATGTCTTATATTAAGCTTGAAGCTGAAATTAAATCACTTAAATCAAATATTAAAACATTAAGAAAGAGGTAACTTTGGTCCAAAAAGCTTCGTCTGCTGACAAGATCAAGATTCTTTCTCTTGAAGATAAAGTACATGAATTGGAAGGTAAGTTAGATGACTTGAAACTAGAATAGGTGTTCTATGATTTAGATGCAGTGAGAGAAGTAGTAGAAGAGTCAGTTCAAATAAGCTCATCTGAAATAGAATCCTTAAGCTCAAATTGAAGTGAGCGAATGAGGATCTTAATTCAAAAAAATATGAAATAGAATGTATAAAAAAGGGGATGGAGACAACAGACATTATATATAAATAGGAGCTAGATTACTTATCTTCAGTATAATTAAATTTATTGAAGAAAAATGCTCATATTCAAGAATTACTGTTAAAGAAAAAGCTAAGAGGCGTTTCGCATAATGAAGTAGATACTCCACCTCCACCTAATCCTTTATCTCAAATAATTTTTATGGGTGATGCAGAAGCAGTATCTTTACTAGTAACTGCTTCTATTATCACAAGTTCTTTGATGTCACCTATATTAATATATTATATACTTGCCTTAGTACTTATTGCGATTATATAGATTGTGGTCAGGAAAAGGCTATAGAATATATAAAAAAAGTAACCAATTTTTTACCTATGAAAATTATATAAATAGGGACTATGCAAAGTATCTCTTGTTTAGACTAGATTATTATTATTTTCAATTCTAATTGACTACTGTATAAGTACTAGCGTAAGTGAAACTTCTTCAAATCTCTTTTTGATGTGAGCCAATATCTTTTCTGATAAATTTTTAGGTGGATTTATTAAGGTATTTTCAGCTTAGGATACTGTATATACTAATAACTAACCAATATGAATTTGATCACCTCCTTTACGATTATGCTCATACTGTAGTAAAAATCAATAGTCATCTATTACAATATCTCTTATCTCCTCCTATTCTGATATAGTTTCATAAGAGACCTCTGCCTATCCTCTTCTATGATTGGAAGACGAATTTTATTAGGTTCAAAGCCTATGTACTAGAAAACTTGTTACGTAGTTTAACCATTATACTAATAAAGCTTATCTTTAAAATATGTAGATTTTTTCAGCTGATCATATCTCAAGAATACAGTTTTACCAAATTATTATATATAAAAAATACTAATAATTATCTTTAGGTATATCTAAGACTAGGCTATATTATCGGAGGCTGAAAGTTCAAAGATAGAAAATAAAATTAGCCAGTATTATTGCATAAGTAAATAATATTATGCAAAGTGCCTTAATGGCTAAGTATTCTTAGTTAAAATTACCACATTCTACTAAAAGTACTTATCCATATAATTCAATGATATTATCTATATTAGCTTTAAACGAATCATCTTTTTTATCATTTTGTAATTTTGATAATATTCAGTAGCGTATGATTTCTAGGCTAATCACTTTATACTATATGTTTTAGAAATCTGCTAGTAGCTTACACTCATCCAAATAATATGATGTTAAATATTATTTTAAGGATATTGCTTGCTTTTTAATAACTAATTTGTATATATTGTCTCTATATTCTATATCAACTTCAAAAATTTCTTTAAGCAATGATGAAAGTTTTAAGTAGATAGATTCTTCTTGCTTATCTAAAGCATTGAGAAAGAATTGGTAATAAGCATTATTAGTCAAGTGTTTTCTCTTGTCAGTATAAGTAGTATCAAATAAATTTTTTACGTAAATGCGTACCTTTTTCATAAATAAGTTATGATAATTTTA